TTTTTCCCGAAGCTTTCAGAGTCTCAAGGATGTCGTCTTCGACACTTACCACGACCATTCCCTCATCCCCTCCGTCCCTTCTTCGGTTGAGGCACGTTCCACGGGCTCGCTCCGCGCTACGCTGGGCACCTCTCTTTCCTCGTCGCGACGGGCGCGTGGCGCGGGCACGTCAGCCTCTCGCATTCTGTTGGAGAGGTTTTTTGAGACCTGAACTGGGACCCGAACTCATGGTACAATTGGGATCACACGACGAATGGGACTGGAATATATGCCACCCCATTGACCTCAAGTCAACCATCCCAATTAATTGATTGGCAACTATGCCAGTCTCACTGCCAGTCTCATGAGTCATGAAGTGTTTGGGGAAGAGGACATGTTCCTCGAAAAGATTGTGGTGAAAGTTCACCACCGCATGTTTCAAGTTGAACCTGAAAGCAAACTGCAGTGTTTCTGGACATAAACTTTAAACAATTGCAATTTGGGAAGTCACATTGAAAACAACTATACCTAGGAATGTGTATTGTGGAGTCCAAGCCTTCTTCAGCAGGTTCAGCCTGTGAGGTTTCACAGTGGCCCCCCGACGAACGTTGCCGCGTTCGGCAAGAGACATGATTGCTTGCGGCGACAGTGCGCCCAACAACGAACCAATATGCGCATAACTACACTCGGGCGAGTATGCGCGCGGGCAAGCACACAGTGACTAACAGCTAGCAAGGACCAGGCATTGACAGCCAAGAGCAGCTCCATCAACTCTCGTTTTAAAGAACATTAAAGAACATCAGAAGTCAATCAACATGTCGAAAAACAGAACATTCACGGTTTACACGCGTATCTGTGGTACAAGTTGGTGCGATTTTGTAATGCAAAAGTACACCTTTTTGCACTACAAACACCTGGTGGACAAACGTTCACGCGGGCCGCGTCTTATGAAGCTCCCGGTCCAAGCGCCCCACCGGCCCTTTACCCGAGACACGTGCGCAAATCAATCATCTTGGACAAAAGCAGGCAGCAACTTGTTGTATTGGTAACCAATAGACATGGTAACCAATCAATCTTACCAATAGAAAACAATGATAACATGTTTGACTTTGCCCTTAGCCCCCCTCTAGCATATGCAGTTGAAATCAAGCATTTGTAGTGGAACCACTGAACACACACACACATGCTCTGTCACACCTCCCTTGAAAAAGGGGTGAGTGGTCTGCAATTTCTTCTGCATTTTCTGGGGTGTAACAGATTAGCATCACGCTTCTTACATGCTTTAACTGTCCTGTCATTGTTTGGATGTTTCGAAAGCCCGCCGCAACTTTGCCAAACAATTTCCTGCCCTTGAGCCCTTACACAAATCCAGTGGTGATTGCTTCCTCGCGATGACATACCCCGATGACATACCACAAACGCAGTTGAAAACCGATCCTCACTAAATCGCACTAGGTCAGAAGTTGCACTCCCACCATTGTGGTACCCTGTCGCTCCCGTATTCCCGCCACTTGGTGGTAAAAAGGTGGTGAACTCAAAGTATAGGAATCAACTTCCAAACCAACCTGTCGCTCTGGAAGCCTGAACATGAAGGCGCCATCATACGTGTCTTCCGTCAAGCGAAGTGAGGAGCAACCATCAAAATTCCTGTCAATTGCTTGGAGGAGATCTTGTCGATGTGGAACGCTCAAAGAAGTGGCAGGAACATCTATAGACTCTTGATTGAAAGTTCATAAACTCCCCGACTCCCCTTTGAAATCCTCTTTGTTTTATGGGGGGCTTGTTAATCACGAGTCTACATTAGCTTGAGGCGCCTTCTGGTCACCTGGGTGCGCCTGCTGGTCGACAGAGTGTGTGCTTTGTGCTTTGGCACGGTGCTGCGCCGTGGGGCACCGTGTGGGAACAAACGGATGGGAAGCACTGCGTGTTGCACACGCCATGGAGGAAAAGCGATCGAGCAGATGCTCAACCGCTGCAGCCGTGAAGGCCATACCCGATCGGCAGCTCGGGTGGTTGGCACGGGTGGTTGGCACGCTGCGAGTGCGAGGGCACCAGTGCGAGCAAGAAACATCTCGGCCAAGTTGCCTGCCTTTCTCGCTTACAGTGGAGGTTGGTGCATCTGCTGGCCAACTTTTGAAGACTGGCAGTTGTTTCGGCCGGTTGGTCTGATCTTGTCTGGTCTGATTGAGCCGCTGCAATCTGGCACATCTCACCAACCAGCACTGGCGGTCCTCACAGCAAACCCTTCTGGCGTACCTCTTTTCAGCCTACTGTTGCATGAAATTGTTTATGTGCGAGATGACGCGTATGCAGTCAACATGATGGATGATGATGGCTAAGAGTGGTCAACATACCAAAAGACAGCATCCAGTTGCACAAATAATTGTTTCAGCAAAACCCAATAACCCTTCCCCGAAACGAAACGCCTTAAAATCGCTGAATGAACTACCTGAAGTTCTTTGCCCCACCACATGCAAAGAGTTAGCCTGCCCAAGACCACTTCCTGTCAAATCTTGTTGTTGGAGGAAACTTCTCCTGGTTCTCCAAAGTGACCTTTTGATAACCTGGTTTGAGGTCACTTAAGCCTCGTCCTAAGGGTCACTTAGGAACCTTAAAAGGTCACTTACTGAAGAAGCTGGCTGATATCTTCTGATCCACCAAGCTGCTATAAGCTGCTGACAGCTGTCAGAACCCTCCATTTCCCTTGGAAACCGACCGCTTGCTGGCTTGCAAGCGCTCTTCAACCACGCTCTTCAACCCGACCGCCCCGCGGTCCCGACCGATCCACCGGGTCCCTCCGTCCCCTTTCCACCCAGCGACGACGCGCTTGGGCACCAGCATGGGCGGGAAGGCCGGGATCGCCGGCAGCTTCGGCGCCGGCCGCGCCGAAGCAGTGGTCTGAGCTGGGAGACGGTCGCCGTGTGGAAGAAGGACGGGACGATGGAGACCGACATGATCTACCGATTTAAGGGTCGCGAGTCGCAGGAACAAACATGGTTCTGGAGCTGGCTTGGTCATGATAAATCTTCAGAACTTCTACAAGAGATTTGACGCGACCAAACCAAGTCTTGGAAGGCAACACAACAGGAAGCTTTGCTGGAGTTCAAGCATTCGACACTTTTCCCTCTGCTGGATGAACCCATCAGTTGTGCTGTGCCCCCTGCCCGCACTAAACGAACCATATCGTCTACCAGAACACATTCATCGATGCGCTTGGTGTGAGCCTGCACTAAAATGATCAACAGAGTTCACTGGTTGCAAAGCAGTGTCTACCAGGCGTTTCACACCATCCCCTATGTGTTTGCAACAGTCATTTCAACATGTACCTCCAACAACTGAATTAGATCCAACGCCCATATTTCGCAACAAACCTGATTTGCGTGGCGTTTCTGATGTACTCTGAAGTCCGATTATTTTCGCAGTTCGTCAACTGGTAGCAATACATCAATAAGTCAGAGCCTCATGCCCTTGTGGTCAGCCGAAACCTGTGGTCTTCCCAGCCCTAAGGGCATGGACTGGCCCTGACTGAACACCAAAAGGTGTAGAACCCCGTTGGGCCCTTAGGACTGGCGCTGCGGCCTTCAGAGCAGTTACACGTGGGTTTTCGGACCGTCCGGTCATCCTTCCGGCCTATGCCATCCACGTTAGACCATCTTAAGTGAGTGGGAGTGTACCTGGTCAAAGGGTCATCAAATTATATAAGTGGTGAAGGTGACGTCCTATGATAGAACGCCCCCTTGTAGGGGAAACGTCCTACCCCCCTGATGCCCCCACCTCACTTGGCAGGGGCGTTGGCTCCGTCGCGGCGTCCTCCCGAGCGGGGGCGGCGTCCTCCTGGGGTGGCGAAGGACGTGTAGAACATGGGCGTTGGTGAGCTAATTGGTGCGATCAGTTAGTTACTTTGACCAATTCGAATCTGATCACTGGATTAGGACTTGATTCAAGTGCTTCTTGTTTGACAAACAACAGAAATAGGAAGAAATAGAAATAGAGCTAAGCCAAGAGTGCCATCCAAACTCTCAAAGGAGGCAAACAACAAGATTGACTTTCCTCCTATGTGTGGATATGTATATTTATATATATATATATGCCTGAGAAAACTCAAGGAATCCAAGTGTTTGACGCATCATCTTTCTTGCTACATTTATGGTTGTCATTGGTTATCCAAAGGGCGTCTCACCAAATTGCAAGCTGTGCGGGAGGGATTGTCAAAGTTTTGGCCTTGACTGCCACTGGCAAGATGTTGCAAAACTTCGGATTTTTTTTAAAGAATCATTCACTGCACAGGTTTGAGCACGGACGCCAGCAGGAATGTGCCCACCACACACCTTCAAGAACCGACTCCCTCAGTCTTGCCGGAACGGTTTCTCTTTTCTCCGCCTCTTCTTGTGTGGGGAATCCCCAATCCTGCAAAAACATCACACCATATGAGACCATTCCATATTCCTCTCGGTTAGGAGACATGAACCGGACGTCGCAGGATCCAGCGCCTGTGGGGCTTCTCGCGGATCCACATCAGGCCTCAGGCTGCGGCTGCTGGAGGTCCCAGTTCGTTTGGGGACGGCTGTCGTGGAGATTTGCATCGTTGGTGAGCCCTACAGCCAGCACATGCGTTTGGGGTCCACATCCTGCAACACTGACTGGGGGGCCTAAGGATATTTAAGACTTCGACACACTGACCCCGGCGACACACTGGTCCTTGAGCTCGATGCCCACATCCAGCCCACCCAGCTTCCAGCCAAGCAATGAGACATGCCTTGCGCTACAGCCAGCTCTGAAAAACATGTGTAAGAACGCTGAGGCCTCCAGGTCTGAAAAGGGCCTGAGGGCCTGCGCAAAGGATCAAAAGTTCTCAAACACATGAACCTGTAGAAGACCCTAAACATTGCATTCCCCTGTCACCGTTCCCCTCACTGACTCATCTGAGAAGAAACCAGCAACCGACTTCGCATCTTCCCTCGCGCTTTTGGGCTCTTGCGATTGCTCTCAACGACCCCTTTGCACAGGCAAAGCGGCAAATGTCAGGTTTGACAGGCTGTTTCACTCACCTCGTCTGCAACCTCTACGGCGCGCATCAACTCTTCATAATCCTCTGGCATGAAATCTCCCAAGGTCAGGCTCATGGAGGTCCGCTTCGCTCCAACTCCTTCCATCTGCACCTCCCTTCGCTCCAAGTCTCGTGCTCTTGGCAAGGGCTCCCCCAAAAGCAGGTTCACAGCGTCAATCACCTCACCTTCGGGCCACGAAAAGGGACGGGCACTTAGTATGGAATGACGAACTGGATCCTAAGGTATTAACTGCAGCGGTGAGATCAGTGCAGGGGTCTTTTCCTGCTTCCCACATCCACGCAAAGGTGGGATTTTGGGAAGAACCTCAAACCGAAAAGTCGCCTAGGATTGTTTGTTTATTATAGAATCCTTATGAATCCTTTATTCAACTGGTATCAAACATAGAAAAACATCAAGATCGGTGGGATTCTTCGGTATCCTTTTAAGAAAAAGCTAAAGGTGAGGGTGCACATGCGTGTGTAAATGCGGTGTGGCGCGAGTGAGGGGCATGATTCATGGTGATTCTAGTGGGTTGGCACCCTATTTTAAAACAGCACAATCATTTAAACTGTGTTCAGGCGTCTCTGACATGAGTTTTCTAAACTGCTTATAAAATAAGTGCTCGGGATCACTAAACACAGCACCAACCTTAGAATCATTGCTCACTGCCCCACGTGATTTCGGTCCGTCTCTGGCCCCAACCTTTTGCCCCCCCCAAGACTACATCACCACCCCCATTCAGATTCATTCAAGAAAAATGAACACACTATACATGTACAAGCTCAAGCCCCTTCATTGAAACAGGAACGGGCCGGGCCCCGAAGCCTTCGTTTCACCGAACCCACCTTCAGGCATCAAGCCCTGAGACTCCAAGTCTTGGATGACCACAGCTCTCACGTCCAGCCGCTGGGCCTCTGCTCACGCCGGCGCGACCGTCGCCCGGTGGCACCTGCCTTGACCCGACGTGTCCAGTCCCAAGTACGGTGTCTTCTGCAGGACTGTTTGCCCCCATCGATAGGAGGAAACAGGTTTTGATTTTTGCCTGAAAAGCCAGCTCACCCCCATATCCGGAAGAGGTTGGAGGAACGTAGGTGATGTGAAACCAGCATACACTCCCTCCAAGAGTCGGAGTGGAACATGCTAAAAACAGTTTTGACTACAAACACTTGGTTGCCTACTTCCATGTTTCTTGGAGGGGGGAATGAAGAAAAAGTCCTAAAGCAACTTGCAGCCGGAGCGCTAGCTCCTTCTGCGACCAGCCGTGCTGTAGCCGCAGCTGAGCACAGCGCTTCCCGGCTGCGGGGCAGACCTCCCGGATGTCTCCATGCCAGCCAGGCCCCAGTGCCATCTTCGCCTGGCAGAAATTTCGACTCATCAACTTAACTGAAAACATCCGAAATCCTGGACAGCAGGTGTGGGAGATCTCCCTAAAAGCACTTGTTCTGAACATCTACAGCTTCAGTCGATGCTCTCAAGTCTGGCCCGCCTTGCGGGTCACAATGTCCGCGTCAGTGCTCTTCACCCTGGCCCGGACCAAGGCTTGGCATGCTTGCCACGCGGCGTCTTGCTTCGCAAGCTGCTTGTCGACGCAGTTCTGGCCTTGCACATCTGCCAGGATCTGTTGACGATAAACCACTTGCACCTGGAAGGAGTATGCACAGCGAGCGCTCGCCCTGAGTATTCTCTTGACATGGCAATGACAAAGGTCCCACTGGCTCTATCTCGTTGGCCTTGCTGGTGCTGCCTGTCGCGGTCACATTGCTTCGCTCAAGCAGCCTCAAAGCATCGCCAGCTGCACTCTGTTCTGCCTCCTTTTTCGTCTTGCACGCGGAACCTTCGGTTACTAGACCACAGGCGGGCACTTCCACGGAAGCGAGGAACAAACCCTGCTTCGAAAAGTGTGCCCACCTGACATCGTCAAGAGCCAAGGATCTCTTCAATAGCTGTTGGAGCAGCTTGCACAGCTTGCTCTTGTTGTCTTGGAAAGCTGTCAAGCTCATGGCATGTGTGCCCGCTTCTGTAACTGGACCTGGTTGGAGAGGAGCGACCTCTGTCTTCCTGGCAGCTTGCGATTTGAAAAACTCATGGTGCCCACACAGCAAGTTCAACGCCACGCCAGCTGCACTCTGCTCGGCTTCCTTCTTTGTCTTGCATGGGGAGCCATCGGTCGCTGCCAGACCGCAGGCGGCAACTTCCACGGAAGCGATGAACAAGCCTTGCTTCGTGTAGTATGTCCACCCAACATCTTCAAGAGCCAAGGGTCTGTTCAAAAGCTCTTGTAGCAACTTGCACAGTTCACTCTTGCTGTCAAGCTTCTTTGGAGCAGCTTATTGGTGCTGCGAATTCCTGGCCGTGAGCTCGGAAACTGCTTCCCATGCTGCGCTCTGCTCGGCCTCCTTCTTGGAACGCAAAGGTCGGCCCGTGAAGCAAACTGGTGGGGAGCCTTGGGAAGACATGCAGTGCAAATGGACCGTGCAGAGCCACTGAAACTCTGTCCGCGAGCTGTACCACATCTGTGAGATGTACTCCACGGCCCCCGGAACCACTGGCCGATTCAAACGCTGCTGCCAAGTTCCCAGGCGGCCCTTGCACAAGGAGTCGCTCCTCTCCCCCACCTGCCACAGATCCACAGCATCGTCTGCGCCTGTTGAACTCTCGGCGTGTGGACCCGTTTGGCGCAATTCCCAGTGCAACTCAGCCTGAATGGCCTGGCACCACTCGTTCAAAATGCAAATGCAGGAGGCGTTGGGGGCTGCAGGCAATGTCCATGACTTCTTTCCCAATCTCAACGTGGCCGCCATGCCCGACTACTGCATCCACAGCTCACTGATTCTGTCTCAAATCAGCCGTGTTCTGTCTCGGAAAGGGTTGCTTTGACACATGCACATTTTACACGGTGCGCCTATGCAAGCCTCACTTTTTGAATCCCTTGATATGATTAGCTGAATGTGTTCTAAGCTGTGTCGCGCAGTATGGGCCACATGAAATGGCTGCTCAGCTTATATAGTCCACCACTAGCAGCAAACCATCTCAAAGTTGAATGCCACACACAAGACATACACCAGTTTCAGAGTAAATGGCGCAAACCCCTAAATTACATGTCTTTTAGATGGGAGTCCCATGAGGGGTCACATGTGGGTGCACATAAATAAGTAGAAATCAAACCACCCTTTGCAGGATTGATAGACCTGATTGTGCCATCTTCTCTCCCTCTCTCCATCCACCATACCAACGCAAAGAGCACAGGGACTAAGTGGTCGATGGCCCGGAAAAGCACGTTCGGACGCCCCGTTCGGAGCGGTCAGGGCATCGCGAAACCCAACGCTCACAAGCTTCGGACACCCCTGGCCGTAGGCCCGAACGGAGCGATCGGATGCTAGGACACCCTTCCTTCCCGGTCGGCTTCCCGGGGAGCCCAATCAGCTCTTCCAAGAACCGACGAGATCCGCACTTGGACCCCATGCGATGGCGGTGGCGGCACGCGCGGTTGAGCGCGTAAGCTCGCACGCTGCGCAGCGGCAGGTGGGATCTGCGAAGGAGGCGAAGGCCAGCATTTTTCAAGGCAAGTTTTGGGGTGAAGTCAGGCCTTGGCAATTGCAAAGCATAGTGCCCTATACAGTATCCTATGTTGCTTATGTTTTATTTGCGGTTTATTTTTGTTCTGAGCTTCGAGGGTTGCCCAAATGGAGGTGTCTACACTTGGAATGCTGCATAAACCCCTTGAGCCTTGATCGCAAATCTCAACAACACTGAAACCAGTAGATGATGATCACCTGAACCCAAAAGGAATCAAGTCTGAGACTTAAGGCTTAAGCTACGAGGATCCGTGGGATTCCTTCTTCACGGAAACATTCCCCCCCTTGGACTGTAGGAATTCGCTACAATCTTAAGCTTAAATCCTTTAGATCAAGCCCAGACACGACTAATGGGACTGCCATAGGACTGCCGATCAGGCCAGGGGTGGTGCCAGGGGGGTCGGCATATAGGGCGGCAGTCCCATGGAGTGAGACTCCTTGGGTCACTCCAAAAGTCGGAGAGTAACGGAACCAAAACCAATCCAAGACCATTAAAACATGGGAACGACCTGGTTTTTGTAGTGTAAAATCCTTAGTTGATTCGGGATTCAGCCTATTAAATTAATGGTTGTTGGAAGCCCAGGGGAACCCAAACCAATCCATCTTCGGTTGCTCGATGAGAACCGCACCGTCTTCAGACCGTCCCGAACGATGGATGTGGACACATACCGTACCAACAGAATCATGGAAGCGATGGTATGGTCCTTGGAAAAAAGGTCTGCCCTAAGAATCCTTAGGCTCTCCATGGCAGGGGTCGGACCCGACACCTTCGCAGGGATCCGGGCCCTCAAAACCCTATCTGTTGGAGGGCCCGGGTTCTTAAACAGATACTTCCATGTTTGTTGGGAGGATGGTTCATCCATGGTCCTCGTCGAAGAAAATGCTTCTCAAGCCCCTTCACAAAAACCCGATGGCTTCCTATTGACCGACGAGCTCTCCACGCTTGCTAGCCCGGAAGTGTCATGTTGGAAGTGATTTGATGTTGGCTCTCTTTTCCATGATCAACCAAGAGAGGTCAAGTAACCTTATAATTATAGGACCCCACTGAACTGGGATAGTCTAGTTCGGGTCCTTCAACCTCTGTTGGAAGTTCCACCAAATTGATGCCCATAGCATGCCATGTCGCCCTTGGAAGGCGCTCCCATCGTCGCACGTGTTCGCACGTGTTCCTTCCGCGCGCGCGCGCGCCTGCTCCCGTGGCGAGGGGCTCGGCGGAGGGCCCTGGAACGCTGGGGGGCAGTCGACGGGGTCGGCTCCGTTCGTTGCTTGCCCCTATTTTCTCCCTGGGAGGCAACGCGGGCGAGGACACAGCAGAGGTGTTGAGCGAATTGGTGTCTAAAGGAAGTGACACAGCAGTCAAAAGCTCAAACATCTGCGAGGCCAGTTTCGGTCTAGATGTCCGCCCGCCCCTGACGACAGTGGTTTCAGAGGTTCGATGGCACAAGTTACCCCAAGTGTGGTGGTTGATATGGAGCCCAATCTAAAGGACATCTTGGGGTCTTTGCCATCGAACCTCTGAAGACCCCAAGAGTGAATGCTCTTTGGACTGCAGCAAGTCCACACAGGCGATGATGACTGAAGCAAGTCCACACATGTCCACACTGCCTCCAAGTCGGAATCCTCCTGATCCACAAAGGTTTCCTCGGACGCGCGACATCCATGGCACGGCAAAGCACGAAACGCACAGAAGTGCCAAGAAACGTCACTTCGCGTCCTGGCGCGACCTAAGAGGCACTGCTGAATCCAGTTCACATGCTTGGGAAAAAAGATTCACCGCCTGCAAACGGCGCTAACAATCAGCAAAGAAATACTGTGCACTGCTGGGGTGGCCTGAAATATCCTCCGAATGAAGAGGCCTAGGGCGGCCGACTGGCCTAGGGGCAAACAGTCGACATCGTTCAACATCGAAAACCAGGTATCTTCCACTTCGGTTGAAGACCCAGCGGGTGCTGGCGAGGCATGAAAAGAGAACGTACGACAAACGGCAACAACCTAATGATCCTAAACCAAACACTCCATGTATTCCATATATATGCCTACATTGACCCCCCAAACCACCCCAATGTAGGCATATATGCCATAGATGGAGTGTCTGGGTAGGAGCTTCATCGATAACCCCGGATTGGGATTCAACAACCTCTTCAGGCCTGGTGCGTTCAATCCAGATCTTGGACCCCATGGTTGGGTTCAACACACGCGCACACACACATATCATACCCAACGCTGCACCCAAACAGAAGAATTCGTTCTGCTTGCGACGGCTGCCCACGGGCTCCCACGGCATTCTTCATCTCATCGTACTGAATCCCGAGGCTCCCGTGGAGACTCCCGCGGTGGCTCCCGTGGCAGCTCCCGCGGTGCTCGCGCGGGTGGCTCCTCCGTGTGGGTCGCCTAGGGCGGCGGCGCGGTCCCGGTCGGCCGGTCGGAAGCTGACAGGACCAGGTGCCCAGCCCGAACGGGTGCCGTCTGGAGCTGTTTATGGGCAACCGTGTTTGATGGGGATTTTCTGAAGGCCGCATTTTGGAGGGGTGCTCGTCCACATGCTGTGCGTGCAAATTGGGAGTGAATGGCACATTTTGAAGCCCATGTTCGTTAAAATTTCACCTAGTGTGTCTACATCCTCGGATAAACCAAGGTAACTACTTGAGACTCATTTTCAACATCTGGATTCCATTCAACCAATTCATCTCTCAATTGTTTTTGTTTCCCCTCTCTCTCTCTCTTTTGTAGCCATGAGGGGCTGTGATTCGGACATCTCACGGACTTGGCTTGAACTGCACGATCTTGTTTGATTGAACATTCCGCGTGTAGAACAAAGCCCGATCCAAGTACCTTCTCAGAAGGTGATTGGAGACTATTTATGTAGGCTCGGAGGGCCCAAGTAGCTTCTGAGAAGGTATGTGGATCTGTAGGGAAAGTACTTTCCCGGGAACTAGCATGGAAGCAATTTTTTCCTCTACTAACAGTGGGGTTCCACTTCCATGTTTGTTAGTTCCAGGGCGAGTACTGTGAGCTGTAGAGAAGATTCTGAAGACCTTGGAACCCCGCGCGTGCGCTGCAAGAAACCTATATTGGTTTCCCACATAAACAACAAAGCCCACATGCACTTCCAAGCTCAGCTGGCGCTTCCGACACATTGCCAAAAAAATGTGCTTCAACCAAATTCCGATCTGAAGTCTAAACAAGTTTGTCGTGGTCAATTGTTAGTTCTTCCACAAACTCAAAGGCACCATCAAGAACCCATTCTATCTGCACCCCTCAGCGAAGTAGCCCTCAGTGGTCACTTGCAAACTCAAATGACTGTCACACAGTCAAGGGTCACGCAAGCCGCTCCAACTTCACAACATCTCTTGCATGGTTTATGGCCAAGACATGTTCATAAATATGTTAATAGCCTGGGCCTTGGAGTCTGCCCCCCCACAGTAACAGTAGTGTTCCGGGGCAGAGTACCACCTGGGCCGAACTGCGTGCTCCTTCGAAACACCGGTGTTGCGAGCGGCTCTGCCCTGCGCTGCTTCAGTCCCCGCGGGCGGTGGAGGCGGTGGAGGCGCCACGGTCGTCGTCGTGGGCATGCGCAAGGGCTGGACATACCTGGCAGCTGCAGCACAATCGTCGGTCCGGATCCCACCGCTCAGACAGAAGGGGACGGTCAGCATGAAAGAGACCAGGGGCCTTCAGCTCAAAAAGCGGAGGCCCCAGACTCTGGGCCCTTCCGAAGAACAACGGCCCGTGGCCTGTCCGGAGCTGTTGCGAGCACTACAGCGGATCGACAGTATGACGCGGTGGTCAGTGGTCGAAAGCAAGTTCAAGCGCCCAGAAACAACCGTCGTTTGTTGGAGGGACACCGGCCACTCACTCAAGCAAGTGCAACAACATATTCCTCGATAGTTTCCCTCCACAACAAAAACTGCTGCAAACCTTGGGATTTCCCACGGATCATTGTCAGATCCGGATGAAACCCACCACCATGCAATGCACCCCCCCCACACCTCATCCCCGTGGCGGCTGCGGCCGCCGCCATGGCGGCACAGGCGGCCGCCGAGGCGGCCACCTCGGGCGAGCGCGGCAGCGGCGGCGAGGGCGAGTGCCCGTCGCTGACGGCTCGCCTCGGGCGCCGGGCGGCTCGGCGGCCCGGTGGAGGCGCAGATCGACGTTGCAAACTGGTTCTCTATTTTTTTGGTGTGGGGAAGGGCAGCCTCAAACAGACGTCTTCGGCCTATGCGAAA